GACATTTAATTTCGGGGAAATAGAATGTATATACGAAACACATTTAAAAATGTTACGTAGCGGCACCCCATGATACTGGACATTAAAGGACATGCAAACGAGTCATATGTATACGTTTTGAATGCATTAATCTGTAAGCATACCCCGCCCGAGAGGAATTCCACAACTCTGTAAACGTCTTGTTCGCACACGCCCAAGTGAACGTTGAGAAAACGTCTTGTGATGTCATTAAACAACTGCAGACGACGTGGGTGCACAATCACGGAGCCTTCTCACCGCAGGGGAAGAGCCAGCTTCGATCGAGTTTATTTTTCAAAGTCTCGTGACATGTCCCCTTCACGTGCTCCGAGTTGATGATGACGAGGAGGTACGTGAGCGGTCGTGAAGGTGTTGCGTAGTCGTGCCTATGGGTCACGAGCTGTCTGCCCACATCGGAGGGTGCTGTCACGGGCTACACCGTGATTCTCGCCGCCGCCACCACTACCACCACAGAAAAAACGGAAGCTCATCGCTGCCGACCGTCTTTTTGCAGTTGGTTCCCTAATCGCTCATCGTCTTGTGACTAGCGTGGGCAAATGTTTATAATTTGACGTTGACGTCGGTTGCATGTGCTATCAATAGCCCAGTAAGGGCTCATGACTTGCAAACCAGCGGGTCTTCCCGCAAACGTACGCAATTCCAGGTCCATTATTAGATGGCATTTATTTCACCGATAGGGGACATCCACGTGGACGATGACTCGAGTCTCCAGTTACCCAGGCATTTTACAGTGGGATTATCGAAGCGCATTGTGCACTGCAAAGTGAATAACATTCAAAGGTCTGAGGTAATCAGGATTTGGGCTTTGTTCTGGAAACAATTTGCCCAAATGTGCTAAATGGGAAAATCACCAGCAATTAAAACACAATCAACCTACCTCTCTCCCTGTGCACAGTAAGCCTTTCATATCAGCTCCTGTATGGATATATATCATATTACACCTTTTAAAAATACAATACTCAATTATTCTTTATAGTTAAAAACTAGAAAGTTTCACTGCCGTTTCCCCTCTGTGGAGACATCGCCGCATTGGACTCGGAACCGTTCTGAACAGCGCTGAGCTATCCCTCTTCGGTGTTCTCAGATGTATCTGGCTAAAATAGTTTGGCTCTTTGAGCCACGGAAATGTAAGTTGATGTGACTAAAATAATTCTAATATATTTTTTGGGGAGTTTTAACTGATGCTAAGAATCCCAACTCAATTTTGTTTACAATGAAATTTTCCATTCAACCACGATATTACTAAATATACATAACTTAAGCTCTCAATCTCTAGGACAGTCCACTGAAACGTAGGAATCCTAAATACGATGGCGTTTTCCACGTTGCTGTTTTGACTCATAAATCCAAGCTCGAGTTCTGGGTGCATCCACTTTGTCTTCTCGTGTCCTGCCACCACAGAGACTCATGGAGATCCATAGAGACTGGGTGAAAGAGGGGCTACGTTTCTCCCAATACTGGCCAGGAGGCTCAACAAACTTAATAAACTAAATCAAATCATTCATCCATCCGTGGATAGATCATAGCTGAAGAGGATGTGTCAGGAATCAAATGGATGTTCCCCTGTTATCTGATGCAAGACACCACTATCTATTGCCAGCCAAGCGTTGTTTTTAATCATCATCATTATCAGTCATGGTCAATCCACTGCTGGATGAAGGCCTCCCCAAGCCACCGCCACCTATCACGAACCCGAAATTGGCTTTTGCAGAGGAGCACATGGCTGGCACGCACTCATGAATATTGTAAAGAGAATGGTCGTTAACTGTTCACACTCAGGGCCTCAGGGAGGCCTTCCTGGATCTACGACAGAAATGAAAATGCATAAATCAACAAAAGTACATTTTAAAATTATTAAAGTGACTTGGGGAGTGTCAATGCATTACCCTTCATTTGAGACCAAGATTATAGTGGTTATGGCCTTGCGGTTGCAGAGTATATCATCCATCGTACACAGGCACACAGGGCGATTCCGTTTATGGCCATACTGCCGATTTATAATGAGCCTCATATCACTTTCTTCTCAACAGGTGACTGAACCTTTTGGGAGCGAGGTCTCCATATCTGACAGAGGAGGGTGTTAGACCATCTAACAGAGTGAATTGCAATTGGCGGGACACGTGAAGAGGCTTTGACATGAAACGCTGTTTTCCTCCGCCAAGTAATTCCTCCCGATTACGTTAGTGGGGTATCTATGAAAGGATCACTCTGTGTGTGAATATAGTGAAAGTTGGACATAAGTACACCTTATCTAAGCACAATTCTGATATAAGGAACACATGCTTACATTTAACTGGTGGGGGGAAGGCAAAGGGCAGCTGCTGCTACAAACCCACTATTTTGGATATAAGCACACTTGTGCTTGCTCACAAGAGGTGTGAGTATATCCAGCTTCTACTACACATACAAAATAGAGCGATATCAAACAACAAAAGGCAAAGGCAGGTTAAACACAGCTGCTCTTGCAGATATGTTGTATACATTAATACAGTACATAAATATTGCATTTTGGTGTTATTTTCCACAAACAATGCCTTCCATTTGTAATAGCGTGAATACTACACTGTCGTGAATCCGTATATATGTACCCAGCTGCTGCAGCTACAAAAAACACCCCTGATGACCTGGGAAATAATTACGACTCGCCACTCACACATTGTAATAACTCGAGACAGCACACACGCACGGTGAGACTTGCTGCCACGGCCGGGCTGGGAAGACGTAGGTGGCAAGACGTGGGTGGCAAGACGTGGGTGGCCAGACGTGGGTGGCAAGACGTGGGTGGCAAGACGTGGGTGGCAAGACGTGGGTGGCAAGACGGGGGTGGCAAGACGTGGGTGGCCAGACGTGGGTGGCAAGACGTGGGTGGCAAGACGTGGGTGGCAAAACGTGGGTGGCAAGACGTGGGTGGCAAGACGTGGGTGGCAAGACGTGGGTGCCAGGGCTGGGTCCTGCACCATCAAACGTCCCCGGCCTAAGTTCAGGGCGCCACGGTGGCTATGAGATGTTAACTACCTCGCCTGGTATGCAGGCGGTCGTCGGTTCAATTCCAACCCTGACGCCTGCTGTATATTTTGAGTTTGCGTGTCTCTCTCTCCCCGTGGTGGCGTGAATTTCCTCCAGTTACTCCGGTTTTCCCCTATACATTTGGAATCCACATGCGCTTCCAGTATTTTTCTGCTATAAATGTCCACACCATAAGCTGCTTCGTTGAGCTATCATTCGTGATGGCAAGGTCGCTTTTGAAAAATAGCTGTGTAGCTCATTGGGCCTGGTTAAAATAAAAAAAACGTGTTGTTGAGTTTAAGTTCAATGTTAAGGTGCCCCCTCCACCACCATCTGACAGGAGCTGAATCCGTGGCGTGCCCACAGACAGAATCCATCCCGGCTCAGCGCGGAAGCAGCCCGGGATCCTTGCGTCCGATGACTCACGCCCACACCCCCCGTGCATCCACTAATCCCGCGGGCCCTTTTGTTCAACAAGAAACACTCATGCCACCTGCATTGTGAGCCGAGCTCCACTGCTCAATAATTTATGATTAATGTTGTTGCACATTAACCGTGTTACGTCAAGTCGGTGAGCACTTTCAAACACAGCGTTCGCATGCGCTGTATCCACGGATGTATTCACACGCCTCGCGTGGAAGTCACGTCGTTTTTTTTAAACTAAAACTGTACCGGTTGCGAACACGATGCCACTGTTTTCCCACCAGTGTATGGGACTCTAAAGTGCGGATGGGTAAGGGGTTGTAAGGAAAAGCATTTCCCCAGAGCCGCTGTCCCGTTTGCGGAAATAAAAGTTTCCATTTGTTCTGAAAAATAGGACACAACTGCAAATATTCCTCAAAACACCTTTTCTAATTAATAGGCACACAACAACTGCCATTCGGCACTAAGTGGCGGTGACGTCACCACGGCGCTTGTGCCAGGCTAGGTGCACGTTGAGGCCACGTGAAGTGTCGAACGCCCGCTGGCAGGAGGTCACGGGGCAGACCCAGCAGGTGCCACGGGTCGACCGACTGAGATGAGTGGCCGATGCACCACCCGTGCCCTCTACTGTGCCAACAATCTAATACGCATATATCATACTTTCTCATACTCATACATGATACATTCTGGATCTGAGTTAACACGACGCTCAACACTTATATCAGGAACCGCGAAGATGCATCAAAGATGGGAAGCTTATCATTTACTGACAGGCGACAACACTATGGTGAATAAATAATAACAATAGCACCAAGCGATAACACAAATAACATTACCTACTGTACAACATGATCGCCGCCGTGTAGTCCTCTATTTAAATGCAAATAAAAAGGTTTGATTATATTATTTGGTGCCGCTGCTGTTGCAGCATTTGACGGGGGCGCAGAAAGCAAACTCAACAACAAAAGCAACCCAACGCATTCACGTCACTTGAGTTAATCGAGTAATGCCTTTTCATTATTCAAGTGTTTGTCTATCACATCCAGTGGCGACTATGACGCGACTATTCACGTGACAATGTAAAAACTGGTACATTCGATAACATGCTCACGAGGCCCCATGGTGTCGAGTGTGTGGTCTCCAACTCCCGGCATCCACTCGTCACCTCTCTGGCTTCTCGATAATGAAGGGCCATCGCAGCCACGATCATTATCCACCTATCGTATCGTTTTCCTTTCAACGCCACAGCGCCGTTGCCAAATACAATTTTTTCAAACATCATTTTATAAAGAACAAAACAACCACGCGCGCACGCGCGCTGTGGTAAACAATAAGGAACTAGACAGTCACGCGTCGACTTTTGAAACCCAGGAGTCTGTCTAAAAAAAAGAGTGAATCATTTGTTGCGGTGTGCGGGACGGTGCCTCTCGCAGGGGTATTTCCAAAACGAATTCCGGATCATTTTGTGATCTCATCCACGGCCAGCTCGCTCGCTCGCAACATCGGCGCGCGCTTAAAAAGACCCCCGGCGGCAAGACAGCCGTGGCACCGCAGAAAAGCTTCGCCGGCGAAGTCACCTTGCCGGCATCGGCAAACTGCTGCGCCTCTATTCTCACCCGCCCGGTCGACATCAAAAAGAGGCGCGCGCCGAGACTCGCCCCAGAAGGAGGAGGAGAAGGAGCGTCGCGTCACCGCGGCGTCAAAGGGCAGGGGCGCTTGGGTGAGAAGTTTGACTTCATTGGGCACACGGCCACGGCAAGAGAGGACACGTCCTGGGCTTGGTTGCGTCCTCGCGCGAGACGGCTACGGAGAGTTTGGCACTTTTTCGCGTTAGACACAAACACACACACAACACAACAAAAAAATAAAACAACCGCCACGATCAAGTATTTTACACTCCATTAATGTTCTGCTTATTTCTTTGCGTGGGAACTTGAATCTTCGAAAACTTCAAAAAGACCGACAAGGTGCGTAAACCGTGTTTTTATTCACCTTAACTGCGGCTGTTTGGAAAGCGACGCGTCGAGCGAGATGCTTCCTGCAATCCACCTGCACAGTTTTGTTGAAACTTTTTTTTTCCCAAGTTAACTTTTAGTTTTAACACGTGATACGCCAGTGCGAGCAAGCCGACTCTCTTGGTATAATCGTTCGGTACGGTTTAACTGACTCCGCGTTAATTCAGCTGTCTCTCATTATGCATCGCCTCGGTCGGCCACGATTGGCACCCGCCTGCAATCCAGCAGTTGAGAGGAAATGGTTGGCATCCCACCAGACTGTAAGATGGCAAGTATCGCAAGCAGTGTCTGTGAATGGAACTGCGTGGCCCTTTCACTGTTATCCCTGCGTTATGCACCCGGTTTTCTTCTAGGCACAGTTCAACGTCTCCATATCCGCCCTCACCAATTAGTCACCCAAAAGGCGGCGCAGTGGTTTGTGCTTTGCGTGTCATTTTCTTTCCATGCTCACAAAAAAATCTAACCTCGTTTAAAAGCATTTACTAATATTTGAAGCGCTTTTTTATTCGTCCTTCGGTCACCTCTTTGAGCGTGGTGCAACTGTCATATTTTACATGGTGTTCACATTTATTTGTGTTTTTGTTACGATTGTTATGATGCCTGTTTACCCTTGGAAAACCTCACCGAGTCCCACGACTCTTTTTTTCAGGAGGGTCTTGCCGAGTTGTCATAGTTGGTGATGATGACGACTGCTGTTGTGTATAGTCTCAATTGAGTAATTTGTGGGTCATTCTTCAAATTTTGGCAAATTTGAATAACATTACAATAATTATCCACAACCTAACTGAAGAAATACAATTGCTTACATTGTCATAATTTACACGTATTAATATACCGCCCCTGCACACAAAAATGTCACGGTCGGCTACACACGGTGCGAAAGAAGTTCAACATACATACCTACATTATAATGACAATATTTCTGATACATGTGTCATAACAGATCGTAAGCAACAATTAGAATATATATTTTGATTTGGAACAAAGGGTGCATGGCTTTTCATTAATGAGTTGGGTTTCCCAAAAGCATTCCAAAATGCTTTCTTCCGCCTCTTAATTTCATCATTTTGATCCCCTTTCCCCTTCTGTAACTGTCCCAATGACACACATTCTGTTGTGTTTTCCTCTGGGTTGCCCTCCGACAGATACCTCCAGTTTTTTTTTTGTTTAACTAACTTTGTCGTACATTACATTTGCGTGAACGTATCACGAGCCGACTTCTTCATTTTCACGGCGACATTAAGAAGTTGCTTTGCGAAAATTGCACTGGGGACAACTCAGGCGTTCATATGATTGGGAAGAACATTGCCGTGGGGATCTTTCGCACTACAACAGTGATTCTACTGTCGAATGGAAAATATGGGAAACCACTTAAACTCCACACGATTGGCGCAAGACCACGGACAATGGCGTTATTTAGCACAAGGAGAAAAAATGACTTGTACACTTGGCAATATTTCTAAGCAAAGCACGCTTGCAAAAGAGCACCATGAATAATGTATGTCTTTAATGTGTGCAAATGCAGCCACTCTGAATCTTTCATGAGTTACCCACAATAGCAAATCCTGTCTATTCTGCGATTAAAATTGGTGTTCCAACGTAAAATAACGACATGCTGAAAACGTTGGCATACTCTTGTTATCGGTTAGGAGCAATACGAGTGAGTCGAATACGGTTACGAGCTAGAGATACACCTCGCGTCTCACATCGATTATGGAGTCAGGGTAAACACTACCCGCTTGTGATTGAATGAGGTGGAGACTGCTCTTCTGTGCAGGGGATAACAGTGGACACGTGCACAATTGTGGCATAGCCTGGATAGTGTCGTGATAAAACAAAATACATGCAATACCTTCCAAGCATATACAAACACAGACGACACAGGGCGGTGTGATGTAACTACCAGATTGAATGCTGGCGGTGAAAGCAAGGCTATTAAACCACAATTATTGTCAATTTAAATTATATAGCCATAAGAGATACGTAAGCTCTTGGCAAACATATTTTCTTCCAAGCAAACGGGGATTCTTATCATTTTGAGATGGAATAAAAGAGTTCGAAACGTCAGTAGTGAACAAGAACGATGAAGTAAAGCGAAGAGAAGTGTGTCGAGATGTTGACTACCTCGCCTGGTATACAGGAGGTTGTGAGTTCGATCCCGACCCTGATGCCTGTATATTTGGAGTTTGCACGTTCTCCCCGTGGTCGTGTGGATTTTTCTCCGGGTCCTCCGGTTTTCCCCTCCACATTTAGAATCAACATCACGCGTTTCGAGTATTTGGCTGCTTTACATTTCCACGTGATGATAAGCCACTTAGGTTGAGCTTTCGTGTGTGGCCATGGCCCCCTTCTGAAAAAGAGCCACATAGCTCAGTGGGCCTTCCCTGGTAAAATAAAATAAAAAAAAACCAGTGACAACACCAACGAGAGAGTGCAATGCATTCGTTTTCGCTGGAATCTACACCCGTGCCAACTTCATTTCATTTCAGCACCACGATGGACGGCAACATCAGCAGCGGCTCGCTCAACATCAGCAAGCTCGACAACTTCACGCGGGGGCTGCTCACGGGACGCCTGACCACCGTCGCGTTGCCCACCATCTACGTGCTGGTCTTTGCCGTCACGTTGCCCTCCAGCGTGGCCGCCCTGCTGATGCGCGGCACGCGCTCCTTCAAGCCCGGGGCGGGTCGCGCCGCCGCCGCCGCCGCCGCCGCGGGACGCCGCCCGTCCCCGACGAGCATCTACATCCTCAACCTGGCGGCCGTCGACCTCGCCTTCATCGTCTTCCTCCCGCTGCAGATCGCCTACCACTACGGCGGCAACCACTGGCCCTTCGGCCGCTTCCTCTGCCACGCGGTCACCGCGCTGCTCTACCTCAACACGCACTGCTCCATCTACTTCCTGGCGTGCATCAGCGTCGACCGCTACCTGGCCGTCCTGCACCCGCACGGCTTCCACAGGCTGAGGAGCGGCCGCTTCGCCGCCGGCGCCTGCGCCGTCACGTGGGCCCTGATGGTGCTCGCCACGGCGCCCCTGCATGCCGTGGACCTGACGCGGCGCGTGCCCGAGCTGGGAGTCACCACCTGCTACGACGTCTTCCCCAAGAGCGACGCCGTCGTCACCTTCTTCCAAGTCTACTGCGTCGTCTTCTTCGTCGTCATCTTCCTGCTGCCCTTCTGCGTCACCATCTTCTGCTACGTGTCCGTCATCTGCAAGCTCGCCAAAGGCGGCGGCGGGGCCGCCGGCGCAGCCGCCGCCGCCGCCGCCGCCGCCGGCGGCTGCGCCAAGGTCAGCAACTTTCGCCGCCGAGCCATGCGGCTGTCCACCGTGGTGCTGCTCATGTTCGTCACCTGCTTCGCGCCGTGCAACTGCGTGCTGCTGATGCACGCGCTGCTCAACTGGACGCGCGGGAGCAGCGGCCTGTACGGGGTCTACCGCCTCACGCTCGCCTTCAGCAGCCTCAGCGCCTGCCTCGATCCGTTCGTCTTCTACTTCAGCTCGCACGAATTCCGCAGGGCCGTGCGCCGCCTCTTCCGCCGCGGGTCGTACGCCGGCACCGAGGTGTCGAGCCAGGAGCACGAGGCCACCTCCAACAGCAAGGTTTAGACGGGCGAGGCCGGGAACCGAGGCGGCGGAGGGATTTGTAGAAGCGAGGACTACGCGATGCTGGGGTATCTTTGGAGCTGGCCGCGTTGCCGGGAAAATACCACTGCCCTCGATGTTAAGTAGCAATTTGCAGTTTGGATAATTTAAGCCAATTCCTCTATTGGCGGTGTTCACATCTCACTGCATTGACTTGATTAGGGATACTTGCACAACACAGCCCCCAGCACGCAATTAGTCTCTGTAAGATTGCACACTTAAAACTAACATTATTTATTTGCATTTCTAAATACGTAAAACGTTGAAGAATTACAAACACAACCTTTGAACTGTTGTCAGAGCGTAGGGGGTGGATGGCCGTGTGTGTATTATGCAGCATGTCGTGCCGAGTCACTGGAGCTGGGCTGCATTGCATCCTGCATTCGTGCATTCTTACTGCGTCTGATTTCAACGAGCCAGACATGACAGCGCTATGACACGTTCGAGCGCCACGGGCTTACGAGTGCATGTTCCCCATTCCCGTCAATGAAAGCAAACTCACTTTCGACCACCCAAATGCACAAAGTTATCCGTACAAACCAGTTGAGTCCCCCGGAAATGGATTTCATGAAACAGGTCTTTAAAATGTCCCATGTCTGAGATGGAGGAATACATTGTGCGGGTAAAACTTCCCATCAACTCTTAGATATGACCCTTGCTGGTGTTAAGAGGCTTCGTCTCACCTGACCTGCACACTCTCCACTGAAGGCTAAATGCGCCAACTCACGTTCCTGACATTTATTCAAGCTGTCAGGCAGGCAGGTGATTACAAAATGCAAATGATTACTAAGATTACTCGGAGGTTAGCTCACCAGTCACTGAAGTTGTTTGCGGAAAAGCAGCTAATCCATAACTTACGTTTGGATTTGTCAAGACAAATGGAAATGTTAGGATGGTGATGTAATTTGCAAGAGTATGCCATTGCATGCTACTGTCCTCGCACCAGTTGCAAACTCAAAGAACAGCCACAGTTCCCAGTTCATAATAATACACGTACTTCAGTAACAATAGTCCCAAGTCTTGCAATGCCGACGAGATGAAGAGTCTCAATGCACTTAGAGCCTATTTAATGGAATGACAATGATTTACTTAAAGTGGAAATCCTACAAATGGGGTGTTCTCCCATTAAAAAAAAAATTGCATGATGTACTGAACCTTGTGTAAAAGAATCCCGGCCAAATTACTCAGGCTAATAAACACATTCGTGCCTTATAAAGGTACCATCTTTCATTGAAAGAAGATTAATTAGGCGGCAGCTTGAACTGCACGGTTGAAATATTGTCAACACATTCCTCGTAACAGGGGTTGAGCAACCAAAATAACAAGAAGAGACATTTTTTTTTCGAATTCGGTAAAACAAAAATCGATATTTCAAGAAGCCGCAATGCACAACGTCACGAAGCAGTCCTTTGAAGGAGCCGCGGACGGCTCTGGAACCGCACGCAGGTTGCCTACCCCTGGCTCAGACGCTCCAATTGTTTATCTCAGCAACAGCGCAGAAGAGAACCATTTGAAGCGCTCGTCCCTAGGAGCCTCTCAAACATCCGCACGGATGCGTGTCGCCAACACCACGGGAGACGTGGAGGTTTCGAGGGACGAGACTAACGCGCGTGCGTGCTGTAGTTGTATCTACCCGTACGTATGTTCCGTATGCATGTTGAACTTCTTTCGCACCGTACGGGCAATGACGCGGCACAACGGTAGCGCGTTCGCCGCTTACTGCAGACGTTCACGGTTCGAATCCAGCGGCCACCCTGGTTATTGCCGCAGTGGTGTAACAACCGCAGCTATTACCACGGCGGTGTAACAACCACAGTGTTGATACACAACGCCTGCTTCACAGCACACGTTAAAGATGCCCCGACGTCATTCGCAAGAGTGGGCCGTCGTGTGCCGGCATCAGGGTCCAAGTCGGCCAAATTCGAAAATTATTTGCAAATTACATTTTTCTTATTCCACGCAGCGGCAATCATCGCCCCCTACCGGCAGGCTAACGTCCATTTGCAGGCCAGGTGCCGAGTCAACCTGTGCCACACAGGGACGGCTGCCAATGTGGGTGCCTTTTTATATGTTTGAGATGTGTTGCAGGGAGTATAGGCCACTAAATCAAAAACACATCATTAACCTTGCCCAAACTCCTGTCTGAATATAATTACAGCTGATATCTTTATGGACACCCTAGACAGTATTTTCCCCATCCATGCATTTCAATTAAGGGTAAAAACACACACGTTCTTCTCGAAATAAATTCTGAAAATCCATGCAGAAGACTTCAACAGTCATTGTGGCTTAATGTCCCTGCTTTTGGGAGTAAGGAAGCATCGCACGGCGATTATCACTAAATAATGTCTTAATATTGTTTTCACACCACACTAGACAGCACTCCACACATGTATGTGTGATGTATAAATCACGAGTAATGTGCCATTACATTCGTGGAAAACTGCATGAGTAGAGCTCTAAAAATCTAACGTTTGAAAGTGCTTACACCCACACAGTGTAAAAAAATAATACAATCACGAACATTGCATAAATGTCTAGCTTGACAACTTTGCAACAATTTTGCAGACCTTTGGAATGACGCAGAACTTTTTTCAGTAAATTTCATTGAATAGAGAACGTGGAACGGCGCCGCGATCACACACATTGAATGGGCGATGACGCATGAACATCTACATGGCAACGGCCTCTGAATATTGCACGGAAAGCACTAACTTACATAATGCACTATTGTAATGATTTTGCAAGCAGTTTTATTTTTCCCCAAAAAACGGTCGGGTAAAAAAAACGGTCGGGTAAATCAATGCAAAACTTTCTCGTTGTAACATTTATTACCCAAAGAGATTTACTGTTAGTATTTTTTAAAAAAAAGTATCCCATCTCTTGTGCTAAAAATGTAAAGTACATTCTTCGCACGTGCACAGACGAATACCGCCGTATGTTGTAAATGATCGGTGGGACGATGCCTCGCTCGATGCATTGATTAAAATCGACTCTTGCGCTCACAATGCAGACGTCCAATTGTGTCCGCGCGGGATTTAATAACTTGGGATTCGCGTTTCATCGGCAATCGGCTCACGTGACCCTGGAAGCCACGAGAGCTGCCACAATCGACCACAATGTTCGCAAAGGGACCAATTCTTGACAGGTAATCACAACCAACAGTCATGACAATTCATCGAATCGTTCCAGGCCTATTGTAAGCGTGCGCACTGTTCTCACGGTATACAAAGAGACACGACGTGCAATTTTTTTCAATTCTAATTATCCTGACATAGCTTCCAAATGCTTCCACAGCTCCATATTTTCACAATGACTGGATAGCAGACTGACATTCCTACTGATTACGCAAAGGCCTTTTATTATAGTTGTCTGCAGGAAAGTTACAACAAATCAAAAAGTGATTTTTTTTGCTGTTATCTTCAGAAATGTTTCTTCCATGTTCATTTCTGAGCAGTATTCCATTCTCTGTTATTTATTTTTCCCTAAAATTACAGTAACCGTGTAAAAATGTTAACATTGGCCCAACGTTGGCATGTAGTTGGAACTGTTAGCCCAACATTCCATGTGTACTGGGAAGGCTTTCATTTGGAATGTATGAGGAAATTATAATAAACTACAGTATATTAAAGTTCTGACATATCACCAAACGTTTTAAACCTCTAAAATGTATTCCATATATACAGCTGGATTTATGTGATTTTTTCAGATAAAGTCCATATATTTGCCAATAGCAACAGGCCAACTCGAAACGGGCATCCTCGTTCTTACCCAGTGAGTCATAACATCGCTTGACACCTCTACCCCTGCTGTCACTGTGGACGATGACATCAGTCGCAGCTTGAAAGGGTGTCTATGAAGGAGGTGAATCCATGCAATCGGCAGATGTGCAAATGTTCGCTGGAATAGTCCCCAGCAGGATCGTGAGAGATTGTGACTATTTGGAGAGGCCTTCAACCGGTCGTCAATTGACCACGGTTGATGATGATGATGATATTTCAAGTTCTGTTGAGAATGCTACTATTGCTTGCATAGTCTACAGTTGTAACAAAAAAAAACTAATGCAATGTTTTGAAAATGCACCATGAAGCCACTCCTTATACAGTGAACACAAAAAGTCAACATGATTTTCTGCTCACCGCCACACTGAGGTGGCACTCACCTGCTTACAGGGGTGGAAATTCCACGTTCATACGACAATGGAGAGTCTATCAATAAGACAACCACTTTTGACTTCCGCACAAAGTCATACTCAATATAACAAACCCCAGATGGATGATGGGCTGAGTCAACCCCCATCCCCGATTTGAACTCACAACCTTCTGATCTAACTCTACTGCTGAGCCTCCTGACGAGACAGCACAGCTTATACATGAATGTATATACATAATGCTCCCATAAGCATGACATTAATGTATTGATAAAATGTTCACAGCCGTAAACGTAAATGCACGTTGGTGTTTGACCGCGTCCATTATTTGCATGAATTTGCAAAGAAATGTACGAATATATATAAAAAAGCATACCTTGCAAAAGGAGTGATTTACAATTGGCGTTCGCAAACACCCCCACGTGTGTTTGGGAAAGCCGCACATAAATCGTACGTGAGCCTTGCTTCAAAAGTAAGAGAGATACGAGGGTGGCCAAACAGTGTTGCGTTAAATTCATGTCTCGGCAGAAGACAGTTCCCACCAGATACAGGGCTTGCCGGTAGAGCTCGTAACGTAACCAAAACACAAAACCTTCACGACTTCACCATTGACTTGAGTGAAGCTTCATGCTAAATCAGTCGATGGTGCTTTCCCATCAACCAATGAACCAGATCCCTTCCCCATTTCTCGTATCGCGTATTGTAGGCTCAACTCAAGCGAGCATTGTGGAAATACTGCAATATTAACCACGTACAATGCGTACATTTTCTAATGATTCATTATTAATCACTGCGGTTGGGGCACTGCCCTATCAACCTCGCCCCCACCGAGTTTGATTCCCAGCCATGGCTAACATTGGTGGTGCGCTGTATCTGAACCGATCGATCTAAACTCTCCCCCCTCACCGTGCGCCAACCCGCACCGACCAGCGTGGTGAAGTATGGTCAAAACACCCCCACCACAGATTTCATATGGAGTGGGGCGCCTTGCATCTGGTGTATAGTTGACAAAATTCTTGCTGCCTGTCAGAGAGACATCTGCACGAGCTCAGTTCATTGTACACGATCCATATACAGTTTGATTTAAACCTTTCGTGACTGCAGTGATTCATATTCTTGGTTCTTTCGGTAAAGTCACGTTGAAGGGAAACAATAAAATAATAAAATATATAAAACAATACAATTCTCACGACGTTTCGACTGTAACACAAACAGTCATCATCAGGTGTGAAAACCAACGGCAAGAAACAAACCGCCACTTCTTTCAAATGTTTCTTGCCGTTGGGTTTCACACCTGATGATGACTGCTTGTGTTACAGTCGAAACGTCGTGAGAATTGTATTGTTTTATATATATTTTATTATTTTATTGTTTCCCTTCAACGTGACTTTACCGAAAGAACCAAGAATATGATCCATATACAGTGTATTTATTGGACACTCTTCCAGTGTGGGAACTCCCCAAACCAGTTTGAGGTTTTGAATTCAAGCCTACGAGCTCTGACAAGCATGACTGAGGCTACCGCAGAGGAGCCAATTGCATACACCCACCGGCACACACACAATGCACTTATCTGTATTTGGTTAATGTGTTTCTGTTGGTTTACACCGCTAAATATTCATGCTGTACATGTACACACATGTAGACTTTTTTTTACCAGGTAATGCCCACTGAGCTATAAGCGACCTGGCCACAATGATAGCTCAACGAAGTGGCTTATCACGTGGACATCCATAGCAGCCAAATACTTTAAACACATGTTTCTCAATGTGAAGGGATACAAAATCCACGCGACCGCGGGGTGGGAGACACAAACTCTCAACATACAGGCGTCTGGGTCGGGATAGAGCCCACGACCTCCTGTAGACCAGGCGAGGGAGATAACATCTCGCCACCTCGGCGCCCCGATCTGACGAGATCAGGTGCATTCTGGGTGATGTGTGGTCATCGGGGGTGAAGGGAGGGGACCTGTATGATAATTTTACATCCATGTACAGCATATACAATTCATAAAAAAAAAAAACATTTTCGTAGTAATTGTATGTGTAAGGTCAATAAATGGCTATAGAAGATGTTTCAGTCATTTGAAAATGTTGTTGACCCTGTGCTGCAGTCAGGTCTCCTGAAAGGGCATCGACTCTATTAGCCTGTGTCATTTACACGTGGGGGGGGGGGGGGGTAGGTGCATATTGAGGTACGGAAACCATACAAACCCACTCTTCCTCATCATGGGACCTTCCTTTGCCAGTACCAAAATATGAGAATAGGTTTTCCCCTTTTATCTGGCAACAAAACAGGTGTTAAGATGTTAAAACTCCAAACGGAAACCTTTTACAAGGAATCATGCCTGCATTAACCACAATACTTGTGGTCAGAATGTGAACAAAACACTGATAATATGATGCATTGTCTTTGAAACTGACCAATCAGTTTGCCTGGTCCACTCCTTACTCACATTAGCATGAGATTTCAAGCTTTCGTGACTGCAGGGATTCATCTTCTTGGTTCTTTCGGTAAAGTCACGTAGAATGGAAATAAATAATTAAACATAATAAAATTAAATTCTCACGACGTTTCGGCCACTACACAAGTAGCCTTCTTCAGGTGAAGGAACAGAACTGTCGGGACGACAGCGCTTCAATGAACACTGCTAAGCTTCGCAGCGTCTTTTAAGCTGGGCGGGAGGAGCAGAGCGCCTTGACAAAGGAGTTTACATATCAACAGAAGAATTTAGCATTGAAGTAGCTGTGTTAATGTGAGAGATTAGCAGGATGTTAAAGTCAGAAATTAGCATGTAACTGGGAGATTAGCATGATGTTAATGTGAGGGATTAGCATGTAACTGGTCACGGAAGTAGCTATGTTAAAGTCAGAGTTTACATATCTATAGATGCATTTAGTATATTGACGCTAAAGAACTGCAACTACCCAACTATCATACAATAAGCCGATGTGAAAGAACTAAGTATAAACTACATCAATATAATAAATGTACTCAATATATTCTTCAGTAAGTTGAGCTATTAACATAAAGTAATTGGGTATACACTATGCTATATAATGAATACCATATAGTAAACTGATAAAAATCTTAAATATAAACTACATCAATGTTATCAATAAACTCAATATACTCTCCAATGAGCTGAGCTAATAACAATAAGTCGTTATACATTACAATTCTATGTCGAAAAAAAAAGGTGGCGGTTTTTTTTTCTTTTCAACGTTAGCACCACGGAAAGCGACGAGCTTTGTTCAGACGGACGAGTCCATCTATGCTCGGAACGGAGGAGGGGGGAGAGAGAGAAACGGCCACGATGCGCTGCTCTGTCCTGTGTTGCGTCACAACTATGCTATAAACTAGACTACTATACATTACAATGTTATACCTTCCAATCTAAACTACATTGTGTAATATCGTATACACAGCCCAATGTCTCCAACTAAACTTTTTTCTACATTACACGACTATACACCGTAATATACACTGCCATAGACAAACCCCACCCTTGAATTATACAATGCGTTGCTATACACTACCCCATACTTTACACTATCAAATATTAGACTTGTAATATTACACTATGTATTATTCTACCAACCCTACTGTATACCACACTGCTGTATATTCACTATACAATTACGATACTATAAATTGCCTTAATAATTATGTTAAACATTACACTGTTATACTATTTATTATACAACATGCTATAAACAATACCATTGACCGTCGTGTGAAAGGTATTAAGAGGCAGTGCCAGCGAATGGACTGCGGTCTGAAAGTCACCATAAAATACAATCAATCAAGAACCGAAATGGTTTATAACGTCTTTCCAATGGTTACTAAGCCAGA